CCCCAAAACCCCAAAACCCCAAAACCCCAAAACCCCAAAGTTTTTACAAAGGTTTAAAACTATTATATTTATAATGGCCAATTCTCTTCCGATATGGAAAGTATACTGCTTGATGGCAGCCCTTGTTGTTGTAGGGGCTGTAGGAGCTTGAATAGCGAAGTTACAAGGTTTACAACGGGTTGATAGTGGTGATAGATGGGAGCACCCGTGGTTTCAAGCGTTCGCAATGTTTGTAGGAGAGATACTGTGTCTTTTCTACTACTTCATTGAGAAATATCTGGATAAGAGGAAGTATGGCCCAAGGGGCTTACATCCTCGGATCCATGAAGCTCGGAGGCAGGGATTGAAAACAAGAATTAATTTATTCATGTTTGCTATCCCAGCGTCTTGCGACGCTGTGGCTACAGCAATGATATATTTCGCTTACCTCAATATTCCTTTGAGTGTAGCTGAGATGATGCAAGGAGCTTTGGTGCTAATGACTACGTGCGCTTCAGTAATATTTCTTGGTAAGAAATTTTTCCTATACCAGTGGGGCAGCCTGGTCTTCATTGTTGGCGGAATCTGACTGGTAGGTGCCTCAAGTATTAAGAATGATAAAGGAACTGATGGAAACCCAGTACTAGGTGTTTGCTTAATGCTAGGAGCGTTGTTGATCCAATCAGCACAACTCATTGTGGAAGAGAAGCTTTTCAGGACTTATTACCTGAGTCCTTTGAAAGTTGTTGGGTTTCAAGGTCTTTTTGGAATCTGCATCTACCTCGTATTCCTACCAATAGCATATTTTATTAAGTGTGGTGGTGATCTTTGCCCAGCAGGAAGGCTTGAGGACTCCCTGATGGCTTTAAGAGGGCTCAAGGAAAATTATATTCTCTTAATTTTGGTTATCGCTTTGATGATTGATATATCAGTTTTTAATACATTGGGAAATTCAGTTACTAAATATGCCTCATGAGCAAATAGAGCTACAATTAATACCGTCAAAGTTGTCCTCGTATGGATCTTCTTTTTAATTTACTGGGGAGAAGGCCAAGAACATTTCCATTGGCTACAATTTGGAGGCTTTATCCTGATAGTCATCGGCACATTTACATTTAACTACATGAAAGACAAGCAGCTCACACAACAAGAGGAGGAATCTGCCGCATCTTACAGACCTCTGGTAGCAGAAGTGAACAAATCTGATAACATAATATCCCCATCAACCACAAGCGACAGAGAAAGGTTTGTCTCTATCTAAGCTCAGTGCAATTTCAATTTCTCCAAATTTTATGGGGTTTTGGGGTTTTGGGGTTTTGGGGTTTTGGGG